AGCTCCGCCCGGCACCGCCGGGACCCCGCGGGCACGGAGCTCCGCCCGGCACCGCCGGGACCCCGCGGGCACGGAGCTCCGCCCGGCACCGCCGGCTTCCCCGAACTTCAAACGCGGGAGGTGGAGCTAGGAAGGAGAAAGCACCGCTGGACTCACGTCCACCAGCCAACGGGGCTCTTTTAACAGGATGGTCAGACACAGGAGGACACCAGTGAGAACACACAGTTCTTACTTTATTTCTTTGATAAAATTAAATATTTCGTGGCTGCCAACAGAGCAAGTTGCACCATGTTTGTATTTCCTTTGACTCCAAATGCATGGTTTCCAAAACCAATCAAACCACCAGCATATTGAAAATATTCCTTAGGCTTCACACCTTAGGGAAGCCTGTGACATATTATTAAAGACAACATTAGAAAAAACATATGCCCATAACAACGTTTGAAAATGTATTCGCTACATCATTAGTCCCAACATCACATTTCTGTCGTTCTTCAAAATTCCAGGTCATCAGTTCCCCCCACATCGCCCTGTCTTGTCACACAAATTACAAGACACTTCAATTTAAAGTATCATGCAAGTCAGTAAAGGAGCTTCTTTCCAAGACACTAACACTGAAGATTTGTTCCCCCCTCCCCAGACATAAGACCCTTAAACTCTTCTAGAAGTGGCAGTCTTCTCCCTCAGACACAGTGCAGCTGGCGAAGACAGATTAAAAAAAGCTACAGAGAGAGAAAAGGGGAAAAAAGAGAAAAAACAGAAGATTAGCAAAAAAGAGGAAGACATTCAAAAAGCAAGAAAAAGAGATGGCAACATGGAAACAGCTGACAGAGGAGAGATGGAACCTCCTTGTGGAATCTCAAGTGCTTCAGGGAAATCACACAAGTAAAAACCTTTCTTTCTTTAAGGTCTTTAAAAAGATTTCACATAACTTTAAATAACATTCTAATAAGCAAATGGTCAGGAAGAACAGACAGTGACCTGCAGTATGGTAAAAAATGTCACATTCAATTGTCCTTTTAGCAGATAATCTAGAAATCATTGACAGATTAATATTGACTGGTTTTGAGAGCAGGGAAACATTCAAAAGTAGAGGAGGAAGAAAATATTCAAATTATTTCAACTTGCTAAAAAAATCCCAAACAAACCACAAAGCAATCGAAGAGCACTACGGGAAATGAAATTGTATTTATGGTGAAACAGAATACCTGAGAAAATACATTGCAATCAAGAGTTTGGGCTGCTCTGACTGCTGGGAACGGAGGAACCATGGTTTGACCTGGGGCTGCTGCTGTGAGCAGGCAGAGCACTGCCCAGGTAAAACCTCAGCAGGTAAAACCTCAGCAGCAGCTGGCACTGAACAGCATCACCATCAGGGCTAGGCCTGAGTGTGCTTATCCTTGAAAAGCCCAGCATCTGGGGAGTTTGTGGAGGCTGGCTGGCAGCACACATCTGATCTTTCAGCAGGGGCAGGACGTGTGGATTCACCACACACAGAGCCCTGAGCCCGCCCACACTGCACTGAAGGATTGGGGCCACAACAAGCAAGTCTGAAATGGAAACGAGGATTTACATGCTAGTCTTCAGATAGCATGAATTAGCAAAAGGAAAAAAAAAAGCAAATGCAAAAAGCCAGATGTTGTCATGAAAATGACAACAAATAGAATGAGAAGTGTTTTATCTCTGAACTATGTGATAATTAAACTAAGATGGTGTTGTCATTTTAATGTCATCAATAAATATATTTAAACTGTGTTGTTATTTCTGCAGCAAAAATAACTCACAGAACTTATTTCCATATCCCTTATTTAGCTGGGTGGAATGAGACCAGGAAAAAGAGGAATCCATTAATTGTAGGAAAAAAAAAAGAAGAAGGATTTAAAGTTGTAGCATCCAGAACCTTGTTATGACTAATTTTACATTGTTTAATAAAAGCAATAACCACCAGTACATAGTATAGACAGAATCACAACGAGGATATAGAAGAGAGCAAGGATAACACCCTGGAAAGGTCACAGCTGAATTGCTGTCATGTTTTATTAGACCCTCCGATTTAACAAGTAAAGGTCCATTCCAGGCCATTGTATTCAGGGGTAATTACTCAGTACAGAGCCATGGGTTACTGTAAAAGAAGGGCAAAGAAAACAAAAAACAAAAGAAGTAAATGTTAACCAGAATTCACTGTCCGATGAACTCTTTATTTAAAAACAAAACTCAGGCAGAAATACAGAGAGACGACACTTGCAGGCAAACCACAGTTGCACTTGGCCAGAGTGAGCTCCTGGCCCAGTGAGCAAAACACCCTCCTTTTTAGTGCAAATCTTGCAATAAAAACAAGGCTTTTGCTGAACAGAAAATATGAGAAGAAACCTGTCAACATCTGTACAGTTCTAAAGAGATGTCAAATTTAAAAAAAATAAAGGTAGTATTTTTTTTTTGCATTAAAACCGTAAATTGTTGGAATCACTGAGAAGAAAGTCAATGAAACAGCATAGTCTTTCTTCAGAAACACTGATATGTACAGCAAGGTGACCAGCTTTCCCTGAGATTGGATCCAGGATGTGCATCCAGGTCAGCACACTGAGAGGGAGACCAGGCAAGAAATCCTTCATGACCCCTGCAGCATTCAGAGAACACTTAGTTGCAAACCATGGATCCAAATTTGAGATTTCCTCAAGCCTGGGAAGTAGAGGTTTGGACTCAAGGCCCACGCCTGTGAGGATGTCAAGTTTTGCAAAACGTCCTTGAAAGTTATTTGAGTCACACATGGCAGCAGAGGGGGTAATGAGGGCTTAGGAACAGCAAATTAACATGGGGAGAGGGCAGCCAGTGTCTGGAGAGAGCACATCCCACCCCACGGCAGCACCAGGCTGCACCCACAGCAGGAGCTAAATGCACCCCAAGCAGCTCTGGCAGCACGGAGCAGGGAAAAGCTGAGCAATGGCACAGGGGACCTTGCCCAGGAGCAGTGGGCATCTGCTGCTGCCCAAGGGCTGCAGAGCCTGGCACGAGCCCCTCTGGCCAGCTGGGTCCCTCCCAAGAACAAGGCCAGCAGCCAAGGGCTCTGCCCTGGCCCGAGTGTGAGCGGGAGGGGAGCAGTGGGAAAGGTGAGCGAACAGGCACAACGGCACAGCCGAGGGTGGGCATTCGCCTCTGGGGCCAAGGGAAAGGTTCTACAGGAAACCCGAACTGAAAATGAAAGAAAAAGGCAGGTTAATGGCTTTATGGATTAATGACAAAAAACAAAATAAAAATACAAGTTTTTCTAATGCACACACACACACACACAAAAAAAAAAGAAAAGGTTGCTAAGTGTTAATAAGGTTTAATCTGACTACAAAACATGCTTTATGCAGACACACACACACACTCTCAGCAGTGGGATGAACCAAATTTATTTCCCAAAACAATCCTTTCACAGTTTTGCAACCTACAGAACTCATCAACTGTGACTTGTTTGTATCCTTGCAAAACAGTGAAGCCCTGCAACACTTTATGGATCAATATGGAGAGTGTTTTTCTAAATCCTGGAAAAGTACCATATATACATATTTAATTTAGCAATGACAAATGCCCATTGAAAAAGGCACTGTCTGCATTTGCCTAGTGAGAACAAAGAACTTCATTTGATTCAAAGTCCAGCACACAACAGTGTACAGTTATGAGGACTGCCAAAAGCAATCCAAAACCAATAAAAATCAGTAATGTTCACTCTAGCTGCACTTTAGCTATGCCTTCGTACTCAGCACCAGAATGAACACTGTTATTCTTTGAGCTTATTTTTCCACATTTAGAGCCTGATAAGCAGAGAATTGTTCTTTCCATTGTTCTATAGTTACCATTGGCAGCAGAGACATTCAACTGGACAGCTCAAGACAACTGCAAGCACCAGTTCAAGTCAGTGCAAGACCCTTATGAAGCTTTTCTGTTAAGTGGAAGGTCCCATTTAAATTACATTCAAATGCCTCTCACTGGCAACATAATGTTTACTTGCTTTTACATTTCCCTTTGTGGAGTTAAGAGGGAAGGAATCCTGGAATCAGCTTCACCCAGTTTAAGGGTAGACCATAATTTAGTTTGGACTGTCCAGGAGAGAATATAAGTATTAGCTTTGTCTGCAGGGAAGGGTGGACTCAAGAATGAGTTTTTAGGGTGTTTTATAGTTTATTTCCAACAGAGTCCCTTCTCTGAGAGGCCTGTGCACCTCAGCCCCTGGGGCACTGTCATGCTTGCCTTGGATAATGAGTATTGCTGCTCTGTCAAGAAGCAAGACATTCCTGTGGGAGGCTTCCTCTTCCTCTCACCAGAGAATCATCAGCAAATTAAAAATGCTCAATTAAACCCACTCAACCTAGCTGTAAGTAGACCACTGTCATTAGCAGTTTAACTAATAACCCTAATGAGGATGACAGAAACTACTCTTGCATCTACCTTCACCTTCGCTGTAACCACAAGTTAACATTACAGCTTGGAGGAGTGGGAGGGAAGGAGGAGAAAGGAAAGACAGCGACATTTTCATGGCTAGCTGGGCTGTATCATCAGCACCACATCTCCATAGCAATTGTTGCCATAGTATCAGGTGGCCTGTGTGATTAAAGAATAGAATTTATTTTTAAGAGAGGTGGAATAAAGAGAACAGAGCCAATGAAGTGCTGGGAGACGTCCAAAGGAGGAGGCTATAACCCTTAATTTTCTGTGTTCCATATCCTGAGTCTCTGAATTAAATTTTGCAGAATCTTTAAAGATAATAACATACTGTTTCTACAACTGCACATGTAGAGAGGGACTGGCAGAGCACATATAGTGGGGGTGAAAGCAGGGGAAGACAGAGGTACTACTTGTAAGCTTCAGGACTTGCACAGGGTCTGATTTTTTTGGAAAGGTAACTGATCCCACTGCGAGGCTCTATGAGTTAATGACGCTTACCAGGACAATGTGCCTCATGCACCATGCAGCCAAACAGCAGCTAACTGTAAAACAGCACACATGTAAGGCCTAATAATGATGATAATGATGTAACAACAACAAAAAAATCAACTGAGTCATGATTAGTGCAAATTACAGAGCTTGGGTTTAAACAAGTCACCTGTGAAAGAAATAGGTTATTGTACTGCCAGCCAGTAGTAAACAAACTACAATTAAGCTCCAGCTTGCAAAATTCATGGATTGTTAAGAAAAAATTATGATCTGAAATCCATCATTAACGACACTCAGAGCAGTTACAGAGCAAGAAAGCAGCACCATTTCTAGCACAGCAATTTTCCCAGAGGCCAAAGAGGTTTCCTATTATTTTCCTAAGCCTTACTGAAGCACTGACCTATCTCTGCCATGGAGTTTTCTGTGCCCTTAACTGATAAGGACAGTACCAAAGCTTTTTCATATCAACATGCTTGGTGTCAAGGAGATATTTTGAGATGAGAACCACTTAAATGACCAAGAGTTTGACTTGGGCCACAGCAACTAATTGCTGACACTCTAGGGCTGTTGCCTCTCTTTTCTGCATTCTTGACCCTGACTGATCTCAAGGCTGAAGTCTGCAGTCCTGAGTAAGCTGATGTCTAAGGGCTCTAAGCATGAAAGAACTCATTTGGGTATTCCTCACACAGTCCAGGCTGGAGAGAGAAGTCTGTTCCCAGTCAGTCTCAGACTCCTCAGTATGAAAAGATATTAAAACCCCCTGAAGGTAATTCAAATGAACAAATCAAATCAGGCAGTGGAAAAAGGAATGGGCGAGTGAGGAAAGTGCAGCACTAATTGCTCATCACAAAAGAATGTTCATCTTGAAGCAGCTTCAGCTTTAAACTACAAGACTAAACCAGGATCTCATTCTTGTAATTGGGTCTTTCCTCCTCTGTCTCACTTGATCCCAAGCTTAACTGTCACAGGCTTTTTCCCTGACAAACAGTGCTGTCAGCACTTTGGGCATCCCCCATACAGTCCAATTTAACAGCACTTCTTCATGAACTAAAAACTGCAGAGTGCATGCAAGGATTGCCCAGGGCTGTGCAGAGGGGGATTATGGCAGCGGTACAAAACCAGATCTCTGTTTGTCTGCACACCTGCAAAGGTGGCACAGTGCTCCTTTTGGGAAATGTAGCACAGTGAGAAGGAAGGGAACTGCTCAGTGCTGGGACAGCTGGGAGGTCTGTTTCACTGTCCAGAGCTGGTTGCTCTGGAGCAGAGCTTCAGGAGCCTAGCACAGGCACTGCAGATAGCCCAGGTGCCAGACCCTGACGAGGGGCTGGATCCTGTCACACCAGCCCCTGGCACTGGGAACCTCTGCTACAGCCATGCAGTATCTCCCACTGTTTCTGTGGAGGGCAAAAAGCTGATTTAGGACAGGAGAAGAGTACTAGTGCTAACAAGGTGCTATGACCTATCCTCTCATTTTGCAGTCTTTCATTCTGCAGATTCCAGAATTCAAGATTGTTAGTCTCCCACAATAATTTCCACAATTTTCTCAAGCTAAAATGTAAGAACCTGAGCTAAAATACACTCCTCTCTGAGGGTAATGAGACATCCCTGCTACCCACACCCTGGCCTTGGCAGCTAGTATGGTTCCACTTCTTTACAAGCACTGAGAGACCAAGGGAGGAGCAGGGAATCTTGGAGAATAAAGACAAGTTCATCATCTCCCATGCTGTCAGAAAGCAAAGAGGGAGGTTAGTACTGCTTCCTGCTCTTCAGGATGACAGCAAATGTTACATGCTTCCAGATACTGTTCTGCCTTACTAGGGTTTAAATCTGGCTGCAAACCTTTTCCTGATAAGGACTGGCTATGTTGGAGGGAGATATGAACACCCAGAAAAATAGTAAAGGAGAACCATTACCAAAAAGCAAATACCTCTGGATCAGCAACTTACTTTTTCCTTTCCTTATCCCTTTTAAGAGTTTGCGATCCTCCAGCTTGCTGAGCCTGTGACTGAAGCAATTCAGCTGCTGTCTTCCTTTGTTTAAATGCATTTACTTCATCATCCAGAGACTTCTTCTTATCCTCTAGTTTCTTCTTTTCATCCTGATGCAATTTCTTCAAGCGATCAAACTTTTCATGCAGCTAACAGGAAAGGAGAGAGGTGAGCAGGACATGGCACTACCAAAGGGGAGGAACAGCCTCCTTCCACAACAACTTACAGGCAGTGTTGTAGTAATGCATCATTGTGCAGACTAAGAACAGAGGATTGGGAGAGCATAAATGCAAAAAAAAAACCCCAAAAAACCCCCATCTTCAGGGGTCTCCACCTTATTCCTCTTTAAAGGTCAGTAAATGTATGGATTTTTCACAATGCTAAGAAAGTTGCATGGGTGTATTTTTTGTAAAACAAGTTCATCTCAAGGGCTGTTTCTCTCCTTGACTTTTACACACTGCACCTCTTCATCGGAATTAAGACTCTGGCCCTTTCCTGGTGCAATAAGCTGTACAGAACAAGCACTGTGATCCAGTTTTGTCGTACAGACTGAACACCTTAACATCTCCATCCAAGTTAAACCTTAGAATTCCTGGTAAAAAAGTCCTAAATCACACTCTGCAGAAAGTGCTTTGGCAACAGCTACCTACTTGGGAGTGAATCCATCACTGACAGCCATTAAGACACAAGTACTGCAGTCTTTACCTCTTTTTCAGCCTCCTTCAACTCAGCTTCTTTTTCCTTGACCCTCTGGACAAACATCTGTCTCATTGCCTCTTCCTTTTTCTGCAGCTCTCCCAGAAACTCGTTTCTTTTGGCTTCGTAGGTTTCTTGTAAGCTGAAAAGGAAGTGGTAAGACTTGGGACAAACTGCTTGCCCTGACCCTCTGAAATCAGACCCTCACCATGACTGTGCTTTGCACACAACACATTTGCTACTCGCTCATCCACATGTGCCCAAGGTCTTCTTTATCCAATGATTTTTGGCACTTCTCTGTATGTTGAATGTTGGGCAATTCAAAGAGATCAGCTGGCAACAAACACTAGTTCAAAGGAGCATTGCTGTTGATGTCTTAAGATTTCAGCCCTTATGTTTTTTAAATCTTGTACTGCATTAGTGCATAATTCTAAACTCCATATAAAGCGTTAGTTAACTGTATTCACATTTTGGTCAGGCAAAACAATCCCTCAGGGCCTGAGATCCAAGGACAACCTACAGCCTCTCACTCCAAAACATATAAACAACAGTGAATTGGGGAGAAGCAAACTGGGGGTTTATGACTTCATTACCTGATGCCATAATTGGAGGATTAACACTTGATATGCAAATAGACCAAACTTTTATCTGTCTGAAAAACTCGTGACCATTGTCCATTTTGGGTGTAGCCCCTTGAGGAGGCTTTGTCTGTCCTTTAAAGTACCTGGAGGCCCTTCACTAAATACATACCCTTTTACTGTTGTCTGGCCTCTCTTTCTAGGTAAGCTCAAAATAGGCATCACTGTCTCTCTGCAGCACAGACATTTCTACTCCCATACTTGCAGATTCACAGTCAGTCCTGCAGACCCTCCCTGTATTTTCACCTTCTCCCAGTCAGATCCTTGCTGGAGTCTGGATTTATCTGACCTGGCAGTTTTTCTTGCTGCATTGGTTTTTTCCGTGCTCCCCCAAGGACACACACACATGCAGAGGCACACAGCACATCCAGCAATGCTTTTCTCAAGCCCTCCTGTCTCTTCCAGGGATCTCACCTGAAGGGTTTGCTGTCTGGATCAGTGTCCTTGAAACCCATCTCTTCCAGTTTACATCGCCTGTAGAGCTCATAGTGGCGTGTGTGGGTCTGCTCACGAAGGTCTTCCATGTTCACGCGGATCAGCATCTCCCGCAGCTTCACGAAGTCACAGTGAGCTTCGTTCTCCACTGGAGGAAAACAAGGTAAGGAGGAAAATGGGGACAGAAACTAAGATCTCTTCCCACATTCCTCAATTGTCTACTCTTCCACCGGGTTTAACAGCCCTTCCAAGCAGAGAAAACTGGCACTATAGGCCTGACACAAGGATTTAACAAAGGATAATTCCCCATGGATAATCAAGTCCAGCAGACCCTTTCTCCTTTTATGAAAGCCCACTGCCTCCTTGCACAAGTGTCACCATTCATGCCATGAAAACCCCAGGGCCCAACTCACCCTGCACTGTGCCCCAAGGGTACTGACGAGCTTTCATCATTTTGTTTCCTATTTTCAGCTCCTCCGTACTCCCGATCACTGCAAATGGCAAGTGGGCCTGGAACACATTTAATGATATCCACGTTAGTCCCTCTCAGAGCTGGCTGAGCTGCCAGCACACAGGGATGAGCACAGCCACTGAGCAAGACAGTCATTATGCACACGCTAATCTCAGGGAGTCTAGTCACCGGCCACTAGTCCAAGACACAGGGTAGCAGGGTGGGTCCTTTTTGGCAACCTTGTTAGTGCTATCACTCTATATCCTCTACCTGGCTGATTCTCCCAGCCACAGAGTCTCAGGTGAGATGAGCCAGTGCAAGACTGGCATCAGAGTGACAGCTGGAACAGAGTGCTGCGGCTCGGACTGCGGTGCTGTCCCAGGGCTTGCCGTGCCTGAGGAGAACATCTGCACAAGCACAGAAGCAGTAAGAGGTCTTGGAGACTTCTTGATTTTATCCCCCCACCACTCCTTCAGCTCATGCTGGAGCACAAGGCACTCTGCCCTATCAGACCATGAGATGGAAGTCCATCCTTCACCCCCAGAGTAACAGCTCCTTCCTTCCTGCTTGCTTCTGCCCTGGTGAGGAAGGGCTGAACATGTCCCCAGCCACCTGTGTCTGATGTGACCCAAGGTCACACTCTTCAAGTTGAGATGTGCACGCCATATTACACAAAGGCTGACTAAGAACAAGAGGGATTTGCTTTCCAAAAACTAAGAAATAGTCACTTTTTAGTAAAGATGATCTCTCTGCAGAAGGCAAAAAGAGACTTGCCCAGTGCAAGCTCAGCAAAATTGGAACTGAACCCCCCCCCCACCTTTTTTTTGGGTTTTGAGGTTTTCCCTTTCCGTTTTGTTCTTTTCCAAACTTCGGGCGGCCAACCAACCCCCCCCAGACACTGCCATCCATTTTGCTCCATTTTTCTCTGAGTGAGATTTCTCCTCACCTCCCTTGCTCCTGGGAACTATACTACATTCTGCCAAGCTGCAAGGAAGTCAAGTGCAAAGTTTCAGCACTTTGAGTTCCCAGCTCCTTGCACCAACCCTTTCTGCTGAGTTTTGTGAAGTGATATTTGTTAGGCAAAGCTTTCAAAGTGCACCAAATTCTGGACAATTGAAAGGGCCTCAGGAAGCCAACTACATGGAAGATCAGTGACCCTGGATTGCTCTCAGGAGCAGGTAGTGAATTCCACAGGTTATCCAAAAACTTGGACAAGTTCATGACAGCTGGTACAAGCAAAAGATTTCAGATATGATGTTTTTGCTTTTAGAGTGTGGCTCATACAGTCAAACTGCAAACAAGGCAAAACTGCCAGCAAGCACTCACAGAGATGGACTCTTCCCCCTGTATTCCTCAGCCCCCTGATCTCACATGGGACACACACAGATGAAGAGTAATCTTTGTCTTATGTTTCTAATAATATCAGTATTTGGATACAAGTATTCCAGACCTGCAAAACTGCTTTGGTCAAATTCTGACCTGCTTAGTAAACCTGGAAATCCTATAGAGGATGTAAGAATTGATTTGTCTGTGCAGCAACTGACACAACCCACAACATCTGCAACCCAAGACAGCAGTTCCCTCCCAGGAGACAAGTAAATAAATGGCTGAAAGCAAAGACAAGCAGAGGTTCACTTCCACCCTCAGAAGGGCTAACACATAACTGCTCTGACCAGGAAACCATCACTGACAGCTCCTACGTCAGGACAAACTTCATGTTTCTTTCAGGCCTCTCCAAAACACTCTGCAACTATTAATACTAAATCAAGAGGTGGCACAAATGCACACCAGCTAGATCTCTACTACACCCACAGCTGTAAAGCAATCAATTTCCCCTACTAGATTTCCTGGGAAAAGCCTTCTGGAAAATGGGATCATGGTCAGGATGTGCTGCCAGAAAGGCAAGGGACAGTTTGTTTCATCCTCAAGGAGCCACAGACTGGTGGTAAGGCCAGAGCCAGACTGGGAACCTGCAGGCACCTCGAGGCATCTCTGGCCCAAGTTGTGTACTGTTTTTCACACCTTGCTGGTTAAGCTGTGTAATTCCTTGCCACTGGAAGTCTACTGGTGGGAGACCATCAGGTGATGTATAGGACAGGAATAATGACAAACCCTTGAGCTGAAAAGGGTTTAAACACTGATTTCTCGTATGTCCCTCAACAGATATGCACGAGGACAAGGAGGGTATTAAAAGTCTGTTTTCTGACTAGAAAAGCCCACCAGAGAGGCAGCAGCCTACCACAAAGCTCTCCTAGCCTAGGATGACACTACAAGGATTACATTCTTGTGAAATCCTCTTTTTAAGAAACAACATGAAAGGGAAAGTAGATTTAAGAAACATCCCAATATGGGCCACCAACCCCTACACTGACAGTGCTGCTCTGGGAGAGGAGCAAGAACTGAGTCACTCACATTCATTGTCCCATTTATCTCCGCCACTGATTCATCATCTGTCGGGAACTGGTAGATCTGCACCCCATTACTGACCAGTTCACTTGTGATTTTAATTTTAAACTTGGTCAGCTCACTCTTGGAAATGGCATCAGATTTGGCAATGATAGGAATGATGTTCACCTAGAAAAAAACAGAGGTATGAAGAAATCAACTTCGCTCCTGGGAGTTTCTCAAAGTCTGCATTACAACCTCCAAAAACTTGTAAGTGCTCAATAAATCCATAGAATTATGTGCCAACTCAGTCATTTTCACCAGAAGGGCTATTCAAGCTGGGGAGGTCCTCTGGAAAAGCAGCAGCCTTTCCACAATGCAAACACTAATCTGCCCAGTAAGAGTTAGTTGTGCCAACCTTGCTGTCGAGCTTCTTCATCGTTACCAAGTCCAGGGATTTCAGGGAATGGCCGGTCGGGGCAATGAAGTACAAGCAAGCGTGGATCCGGGTGTCATGGTAGTTGTGCAAGACTCTTCTTATCTTCAGTTCTTCTTGCAAGTAGGCTTCAAACTGAGCATCAATGAACTCAACAATGGGTTTATAGCTTTGGTGAAAGGAAAAAAAAAAGCTATACAACTCACAGTCAGAGAGCTAAACAAATAGGACAATGCCCCTTGGCTTAATTGTAAGAAACAAGCTATTGATAGATTTCATTTTCCACTTTCTAAGACCAATTTTCTCTACGTTCCTTGCTCCCCATCTGTAAGAAATTTTAAAGTTGCACTGCTGACAAGGAGACATGGCCCTACATCAGACTCTAGCAGCCTGTTTGTCAAAACACAGCACTGGGATTTAGCAGATGCACCATCCTCTCCAGGGAAAGCAGACTCTCATATTTTCAAATGCAAAGATGAGACCTTCTAAAGCAAGGCTAATGGAGACTCATTTGCAGCAGTTTGTAACCCTTGCTTGCACCCAGGGAGTGAATGGCTTGCTGCTCTCACAGCCCTGAGTGCTGCTGGTGAAGCTTCATTTAGTACCACCTTTGCCCAGTGCTCTGAGGCAGGAAATTCCTGCAATTCCCTTGCAAGGCCTTCTGAAATACAGAGCCTGCAGAGCCATAATGTAAAGGACATCCATGCATCTTAAACAAACTTAAAAAAAATATCTAGCAGACACACAAAATAGCAATCCCATCAGCAATGTGTCTGCAGAGATACACCTTGGAGACTGTCTGGTAGAACTGCACATCCCTTAACCAACACACTCCAGGCACTCTGGGATGTGAGCTGCCAGAGACACTGCCACAAGGTATCTCACTGCCCATTTATTGTGCTTCCTTTGGCTCTTCCCATGGAAGAGCCCTGCCAAAAGTGGATTTTAAGCCAAGCAGAGACTACACCACACTAGTGGTTTGGTCAGCAGCTTGAGGTCAGCACAAACCAAAACAAGCCCAGATGCCCTGGAGCATTTCAGTCTCCCCACCAGATGAATTTGGGCAGAAGCTTGCCAGCAGGACAGAAATTGCTCTGACAGCATGAGAAAAGCTGCTTTACAGCTGAAGCAGTGCTGACACTCCAGAGCCTTTGTCTTCTCTTCTACATGTCCCATCCCAAAGAGGTGACAAGGACAACTCCTAAGAAGCAAGCAGGAAAACTGCAGTGCAATCAGGCCCAACTAAGGTACAAGGACAATGAAAAGCCAGGTCACAGTATAGCCTCTCTCCCCCACACTCACCTGTCCTCTTTGTTGATCTGATCCCCAAAGCCCACTGTGCTTACAATAGTCAGCTTGAGGTTGACATTGCTCTCCTGCAGGTCATACGTACTGGATTTCAGCTGGACCCCAGGCTGTGAGTGAGATGCTGGGTCACCTTCAAACTTGGTGTTGAAAAGGGTGTCCATGAGGGTGGACTTACCAAGACCGGTTTCCCCTGTTGGAGAAAAAGAGTTGAAACGTTCTGTTGAATATTAATATGGGTTGGCCTCTGAGCTTCCAAACATTAACAGGGGTGAAATTGTAGCAGATGAAAGCAGATCTCATGCTCCCAAGGGAGCGTCTGGTAAACAGAAAGCCATGAACAATGGGAGGTCTGTGTTCTGGGCAAATTACATTTCACAGTCTAATGGCCATTAATGTCATTAGAAAATAGAGATGAAAAGCAAGAGGTGAAAAGGCGAAGGGGAAAGCATCGTTTAGATCCTGCTTAAACCCACAACTACACTACAGAAGATGCTATTTTCATTAAAAAACAGGAGAGGAAATGGGGCTCACTGCCATTTCCAAGAAAAGCTGCTCCAGATCAATGTCTCTAATAAGCAGCCACAGAAATAGCTTCCTTCCTTGCAGAAACCCTGAGAGCTGGTTCGGGTCCCTCAGCAGGTTGTGCAGTTGGTTTCTCACAATGAGAATCAGCCTTCCACACTGGGAGGGGGCATTTTCTGTAATATCTGGTTTCGTACCTTAGGGGCTACACAAGCTGTAAAATATTGCAAAATCTTCTTCCAAAAGTTCTGCTAGTATTGTCAGTATTCTGCTAGTATTCTATCAGTATTGAACTGCTATTTGGATTTCATTTACCAACAGGCAACTATTCCCTTGTCTGGAAGGAAGAGACAAATCCCAGAGACCAGTCTTGAATTTGGTTTAGATACATCCCAGGAAGAATAAAACAAATCCCTCTGTGCACACATTCCACAGGGCAGCCTCCCTTAGCAGGCTCTGACAACAGAGCCAGCTCTCAGAGCTCACAGGACCTGACTTCCTACGCAGTCTGGTCTGCTGCCTTGTGAGGGCTGCTGTGTTTTGGGGAAGCAGCAATTTCTGAGCTGCCCAGCTGACTTTTGGAGAAACTTCAGGAACAGCTGAACCCCACCCTCTGTGAAGGCTGCTCCTCCAGCCTGCTGTGGGACCACAGGGAGACTGTCTGGCTGCAAGAGCATTCCTCTCCTTCCCCCAGCCCTCAGCTCCCAACCAAAACAACTTCACCATTTTCCCACTTTGCTCAGAATAAAAGAGCTTCTTATTTTTGTAGGTTTAGAGCTCTGTATCAGATCCAAACTTGCATGAAATGCCCAATTCAAGAAGGGGAAACTCCTCCCCATCCTCCCCCGTCCAAATGTCCAAATCTCCAAGCTTCACTCCTGCAAGCAGGCAAATTCTTCTTCTGGCCTCAGAAGGGATTTTCCTCACTCAGGACTGAAGTACATGGCAGAGCAAGGCAAACACAGAATCATAAAACCACAGAATGGTTTGGGCTGGAAGGAACATTGTCTAGTTCCAAACCCCAAATCCTCTGCTCTGGGAACTGAGCAGTCCCTGATTGCCAGGATGACATATCCAGTGTCTTTCCAGAGGCAGCAAGATCCATTAACATTTCAAAGTCAATGTACACCTTGAGCTGCAGAGCTGCCTGGGAGCCAGCTGAGAGCTTGTGCTCCATCACCAACCAACACCAACTACAGCCAAAGCAGTCACCAGTGCAGTCGTTCTTTGCACCCATCTGGTTTTCAATCCAAAGGGGAGAAGGAGTCACACCAGGAGCTGGTGTGGCTGCAGTCCCTTGTGTTACCTCAGTGCATCAGCTGTACCTACAACAGCACTGGCCAGAGCAAGGGAGGGGGACCCAGCAAAGCACAAGGTTAACTCTCACTGGAAGCATAAGCTGGTCCAACAAGCCCTTCACTGACTTGGAATCTCATTGCCTGGACTTGTTAGGGACCATTGGCCTCCAAAACTGAGCAGGTGCACAAATCAGAGCAGAGCATTGCCATGGTTTGGATAGGGATTTTGAGAGTTAACAGCCAACAGCCTGTATGACCTCCCAGGCTGTTCTCAGGGATTCCAGGAAAACAGCAGTGTAAAAACAGACAAAAATCTAAACAGCCCAAGAAGGGTGCAGCATTTCCAAAGCCCCTGCCAAGGGATGGGTGGGACAGAGCAGTGAGCTGGCTGCTTGCCTGTGAATGCCAGGAATCCTCATGGGAACATCTCAGGATAGGGGAGTCCCTCAGCCCTGCAGTGCAGGAGCATCACCCACACACAGTCCTGCAAAGCCTCCTCCTGTGACACTGCCCCACAGCCTGGCAGCCCCTGGAGCAGCTCCAAGGCTACAGGACAGGGTGACAGGGGAGCAGCAGCAGTGACAGGGCAGGGAGCTGCTCCCTGCAGTGGATACAGAAGGTCATCTGTAAACAACACTAGCTTCTGGGCAGACAGCACCCTGTAAGTCACCTCTCATTTCTGCCTCTCTCCTCTTGGGTGAAAGATGTTCATATGAGGCCAAGACTATTGTTTAAGCACATCTTGAACCTGTTAATCATTGCTTACTTTAAATCTATCTCAAGTGTTTTTTCCAGCAGGACTGACTTTAACTGTCAGGAGGCTAGGAGAAGTGTTTAAGACATGCAGATTATTTTTTACACTCCACTTCATGCCAGCTACACAGGGCCAGCAAAGGCAACTTTGAACTTGGTGAGTTTTTCTTTTTGGATGGGGAAGATCAGAACTGTGGCATTTTTCCACAGGTGGGAGTTGCCCATCCGAACACCTTCATGGTTAAAATATCCAGGCACTAACATGGCATCTCATGGGAAGTCTGCACTCCCAAATTTACATTGAGCCAGCAGATACCCCTGTCCCTGCACTGTATAACCCCACTGACTTGACACAGAATTAAAGCCTGCTAGGGAAAGCAGAGTAGAGAGGAAAGACTGTCTCAGCTGAAAGAATGTTAACACTGACAGAGTGACATGAAATGGTAAAAGACTAAGGACACTAATAAAGTGTTCTGCTGTATTAAATATGAGCAGAGATAGGGAGCAGTGCTATTTTGAAGGCCAAAACAACAGAAGGAAGAATTTCTGAATCTTCTGAGAGTTTCTGCCTCACACAGAGGCAACTTCTTGCTGGCTGAAAGATGTGAATGGTGCCAACTGCTTCTTGTAAGGACAGGAGTCCAGATGGAACAGATGGTCTGATAAAAAGGACAAGTGGTCTGTGCTTGTTGCAGCCAATGGCACTGGAATCTTCCCCAAAAAACAGAAATTATGAACAGGGATTACAACAGGCAGAATTACTTTGAAAAAAAGCAGCAGTGTACACAAATTGAGTGAGAGGCATCCCTGGCAGGGAGATTATTTCCTGATGTCAGGCTTATGGACACATGTGATTTGATCTCCAAAACCATACTTAGGGATTATGCAACTCGACAGCAGTCTGCTGTCCCAAAACAGGGCTGACAAAGCTCTCTGGGGAGGACAGGGCAGAGACAGTGACCTTTACTGGAAGAGTTCTGCACCAGGAAAATGTGACAGCAATGGAAAAGCTTGAGTGCTGTACCTATCATCATGGGATGGATTTTTGCTGTTAAGTCTGATGATATTCAAGGACATTTGAAAAAAAAAATGGCCAGGGCCACCACTGCAGGTTCTGGACATGCAGCAGCCCTACATGAGTGCTCAGAAAGCACCATCCACTCTTAATGCCCAAGAGCCAGGCTGTGCTGGGCTCCCCACACAGCCTCTCTCATTGTGTGACATGTTCCCTGCTCCAACTGCACCTGCACATGGGATCTTCACTGCTCTGTGAAACTTCACCACATCTCACAGTGATGGAACACTGGTGGCACCACTTGCAAACCTACAGCTGGGACAAGCTCCTAACTTCCCAAACCAGACAGGCATCTTCGTGCTGAATGAACTGTCATTCTGGCTTCTTTTCACAGAAATTTTAGCATCCTAAGCAGCTGCAGCAGTGAGCTGAATTATACACCACAAAAGCTGTACCTCCTCCTTTTGTGCCTGGAAATTTAATTTGCTTTTCCCTAGCATGTGCTGAGCAAAACAGGCAACTGCTCACTGCCTCCCTTTCCCACAACACTCAGGATTTAAGAGGCCCCAGTCACATCATCATCAATCGACTCTGTGGGAGGACAGAGGAGTCCTTGGAGCATTTCCCTGTTCAAAGGCAGGGAGCAGCTTTCACAAGAGCTTCCTTTCACGAGAGAGCAGCACCTGCCCTTCACAAGATTAACAACCATGGCTCCAGATATCAAATAATTCGATTTTAAAGAAAATGTATATGCATGCACAGCCTTTTCATGTGCAGAAATGAGCCAATCCAATGTAGCAGGATCGTGGAGACAAGCCCCGAGGCAGCTCAGACTGATAAGGCCATCTCTCAAGGAGAGAGGGGAAGATAGCTTGTTTCATCTGACAGGCATGCAGACACCACACAATTCAGCACAGCCAGGCAAAGGCTGGGCTGCAGGGGCAAGGAGAGCAGCAAGGGCTCACAAAATACACTGAAACATCACCTCAGAGGAGCACCCAGCTCCTGGCATCCACCCCAGGGCACCAGCAGTGCAGGGCAGGAGAAGGCTGAGGAGACAGATGGCTTTTTGATTAGAGCAACTGTTCTTCCTCAGCTGGTTGCACCAGTGACCACAGAAACAACCACTGGGCAACTTCCAGGCTGTACAGCTCATCACCCCAGAGAGCTGCCTGCTGCAGAGCACCAGGAATCCTGTGCACATCCCTCCCTCCCCCAGGCTAGAGCTCCTGCACAGCACAGGCTCACTCCTCTGGAGTGACAGCCCTCAAAATGCCTTGGTACACTCCCGGGGGAGAGAGAAGCATTTCTGCCACAAAACAGCCTTTCTCATTGCACTGAATAGGCCAGTTAGAACAAACTCCCTGCAAATCCTGGGAGAGAGGAAGGGGCAAAATCCTGCTTAAATTGGGATACTAGTTTAATGCAACTACAATCTACCCCAGCAAAAACTGAGAAAGTTTACATCAAAAACCAGCAGCCTGTTGTTCATCTTTTCCCCCTATCTCACTGAGAAATACAGTCAGCACAGAAAGTCTCAGCCATTAAACACTTCTCCAGCCTTTGCACTGAACTAAGAGGCAACTAAAAATTTATCATGTAAGGTTTAGGAAGAAAATGGTTGTGCTGAGAAATAAAAGATCAGAGAAACCATCTGCAACCCCTAACATCTAATGAGAGGTTTTCTCATTCATTTTAGCTTTGGCTCTAGTCTCACAGGGGAGACAGCTTTCAGCATAAGAGCTAAAAACTGCTCCACTCTGGACATGCTGCTGAGAGTCATTTCTGAAGCTTTCTTTGGCTTCTCCAGCAAGAGCTGCAGGAATTGGTGGCTCAGATCCAGTATGACACAGAGTAGAAGTATCACTGGATTTTTCCTCCAACAGATGCCACACACTGCTGAAAAATGGGGGGAAAGAAGTCTCCTTTCTGTCATGCTTTGTGGGCTGTCTATGGGATCCTCATCCAATCTTCACTTGCTTCCTTGTTCTTTCAACTTTTCATCCCAAACTGCTGTACAAATGAAATCCAACAGAATAAATGACAGATGAACACTAGGAGTTTTTGTTTTCTTTCTCCAGGATGTTTAAGTGTGGGGACAAGATTTGCAAATCTTTTTCTAATTAAGCTTATTTTTCTATATGGAGTTTCTTTATTTCAAGATTGTGTTATTACTATTCATAAAAAACTGACATTAGTAACTAATGTACATTGATCTTGGTGAGTCCTTGTTATGCACTTCAACAAATGATTAATGCATTCCACTTCTGCTCTGCAAAGAAGAAAGCACAGGCATTCCACTCCTTTTCACACATCAAAGTGAAGATATAACTACAGGAGGCACCCACTGTTACACCTAGAACTTGTAAAAAAACCACTGCAACCCAGTAAGTGGAAAAGGAAACACTTTTAGACTTCAGTCGTGGGGACAGGAGTTTCCTTAGGTCATATCACATTCATGTACTGAAGAAATCACCTAGAGACTCAGCCTGACAGTGACCTCCACTTGTCAGCAAAGTTTATCATCTCACAGGAACGTAAGATGTGGTTGTAAGGAAAATTGTCTTCTCAGCTCCATTTAACAGGGCTCAGCTCTCTTCTCCTTGCTCTACTACTCTCGTTTCAGAGTTAACCCTGTTCTGGGCAAACACCAGGTCCATAGCTGCATCTCCCATGGGAGGGGACAGAAAACCTCTGCATGGATGCAGGGCTGACCAGCAGCTGAGTCCCCAGGAGGTGTCCACAGCTGCTGCTCTCCCCCCTGCCACACCAGGCACTGCTGGGACCAGCTGCAGACAGGGCTCAGTCCGAGCAGCCACGGCCTCACAACCTCCTGCTCCCCAGGGCAGGGCACCGGCAGCAGCAAGCCCATCAATTATTAATTCTCTATTTTTAATTTCCTCATTAACCTTCCTAAACTATGGTACCAAAGCCATACAGGTTTTATTTCTGTTACCTAAGAGAAGGGATTGTTTGGGATCTTAGCCCTGTGAGATGGGCTGCAGGGACAGACACCAAGTCCTGCTAGAGTGCCAGGCCCCAGCTGTGATCCACACCACATGGCAACTTGGATAATTGTCAGAAGAGTTAAGGCTTGGCCAGACACTATCTTAATTCAAGTATGCACAGAAGGGAGGAGAAAAAATAGCTTTTAGTGATTTAAGAGAAGCATGATTATTATTTTGTTAAAATAATTATAATAATAATTCAATACTTAACCAAACAAGACCTCATAATGAAGTACTCTGGCATGAGTACCTATTTTCTTTTAAAAAGGTCAAATTCAAGCATATAAGGAAAAGAAAGATCATAATAACAGCCTGTGATTTTAGGCATTTTATTTCACTGCTTGGTAAAAAGCCATACTGCAGAACCCCAGTGGGGATTTCCCAGAGCACCAGAAAATCTCGTTACTGAAAATAGAACAGTTGGGGAAATTGAAATCAAAGCTACCTTGTTAGTGCTGTAAGCTATGAGCTACATCCAGCTGAAAACTTTTCAGCAAGAGAACTTCCCAAAATGGAAATACTCACCCACACACAGGATGTTGAAACAAAACCCATGATTAACAGATTTATTAACCAGCTGGTCAGGCAAACTATCAAATCCGACGTGCCCGGAAAGCGGGACGGTACGACAGCCTTCACCCTGAAATACAAGGAAATAGCTGTGTCACTTTCAAGCAAAATACTGTTCTTTATAAACCCTTACAACCTCCCAAGTGGAATCAACTGCGCAGTCCAAGCAGAGATTTGCACAGATCTATCAATCATGTCAGCATGCTTCACTCTTCTCTAAAACAATTCCAGAAGGCACAAATAGAACATTTCATTTGTCAAACATTTGAAAGTAGCCCTGACAGAATAACACTAAAATGTGTAAAGCATGTACACAAACACAGCTGCTGAAATGAAGAGATGAAAAACACTTGTTCCTTCAAAAAAATACGCAGAAACTCAAGTCTCACCTAATACTGAAAACAAAAAGAATCCTCTGTGTAAAGCAAGGTATTAATGATACCTCCTCCTACAAACCTATTACCATTCACTTTACCTGACTTGGAATTCACATGTAATTCCCATTCACAGCTGCAATTATAGAAATTAGCTAGAAACAGTAAAGAAAACTGTACCTACAGGAAAACAAAGCAACAAAGTGTCCAGAACTGAGCTGCTCATAATCCCACAGGCCTGAAGGAGTCTGCAAAGAGGGTTTGGGAGTGGAGGTACTCAAACTTCCTACTGGGGGGGCAAGAGCTGCTCCTGCCCAGCCAGCAAAGGACTTCTCAAGAAGCTGCTCCTCACCCTGCTCTCTCCTGTGCTCAACACCAATCTGGGTTCCCCAGCCAAGTAGAGCACGTGGTGCTCCATGCCCAGAACAGCCACAAGCTTTGGGAGGGGGTCAGAAATTTTTACCCGGCCAGTCTGTGCCAAGGCACCCTGGGTCCCAACCCTGCCCAGCTGACAGTAAAACACAACACACAGAAGCTCAGCCTCAGAAATGGCACCAGGCAAAATGAAGAGCCAGTGCTGCACCCCTGTATTGGTGTGCACTGGAGAGTTGCCCTCCTGCAGCCCTAAAAAGGTATTTCCCTCTCTAAAGAAAAGGCTTTTCTCAAAAATGTATATTAGTGTGAAAATCAGAAAATTCCCTCTAGCCTTCCATCAGTTTGCAAAAAATACTACAGCCAAAAGGCAGTAGTTTATAGGGTGCGATTTTGAATTTATTTTCACAATCATGCTTTCACATATCTTGAAAGCCTGTTTATAGGGACAGGAATACTGGTTTTCCCTCTTCTGCTAATGGTACTGGTATTTTAGGCTGGGAAAACATCCCCGAGGAGTACATTTACTACAGTAGCCTGTCTGTATGTTTTCTTGTCCTGTTACTGTTTTGCTGTTGTGGGTTTGGATTGGTTTTTTCAGATATGTGGCTCCAAATACACTTTGATCATTAACCATATTTACCAGTCTGTGATGTGTAAATATGTTTCTCCTTGGCCATATTTTGTGTATTAGTCTGACTCTTCTTGACAAGATGTTCACCAAATATGGTGCTTCATTAATTCCTGAGCACCTTCCCTCCTAATGACATGTTTATGAGGAAGGCACTCAGGCTCCCCAGCAGATTCTGGTTTTGCCTACTGACAATGCAGCTGTGAGGCCCAGTAATGCAGAACCAGCTAAAACAGAAGAAAGTGAGAGTGTCAGACACGCAGATTTTGTGACAACACACTCAAACCCTCCTAAACTGCATCCACCAAAACCCCAGTCCTGCAGAATCTCATGGCAGTGTTGGATCTGCAGCCACAGCCCCAGGTCCTGGTGAAGAACAGAGTGGGGGGACAGAGCCCACGAAGGTGCAAGAGAAAATGACCCAAGGCACCTCCTGGGGAAGGAGAAATATCAACTGTATTTTAATACTCGGCCCCAAAACCACACCACTGGAAGACTGCTTGAACACTACTCTCCCCAGGAAGCGTGGGCAGGAGTGTGGGCTCTCATTAAGAACAAATCATCCCCTCATCCCTAAATATAAGTGTGATCCAGATGGAACAAAATAAATGGTAGAAGTTAAGCCGCTCTCAGCTAAGAGGAGGCATTTGCCATCACACAGAATTCAGCCTGCAAGTCATTTCCTGTAGGTTCTTTTTCTAGTCACCTGTGGTTTTACAATACAGTTAAAACCATGCTTCACATCTGGTACAGGCCAGGAAACAACTACTGCAAAATGGGATTTCCAGTCACAGCAGCTAAGTCTCCTTGTTAAGTACACAGCCATAAGGTATATTGTGCTACTCTGCCTAAAAATCTACAGCCTCCTTGGCCAAGGCATCAAGAGACTGGATGCAGTGGAAAAAACAAATAGAAAGAAGTAACATTTTAAGATCAGCCTGGTTTTGACACTTATCAGAAAGTTGACAGCAATTACCAAACCAGGGGAGAGAAAATAAACACTTTCTGTCTGATCCACCAAGAAACAGTGCAAGTCACCAGTCTTCAAGCACCAAGTGGTGTCTCTGTACCAGAGCACTGCTATATATAAACAGCACCACCATAAACAACATATGAACACACTGATTAGTCATCCTGGGTGTATATTAAATGTAGGTTTGTATCCCCTTGTTCAGCACTGGAGGAGAATATGTTAAGCTTCTAAGCTTTTTGCTGATAAGGTGTTCAAGGCTGTCTTCCATCATTCATCTTCCAAACCAGATCAAATTTAAAACATATAATGAGATACCAACAAGGTAAGCAAAGTTTAACTACTGCATGCATGAAGGCTTTTTCCAGGAGCATCAGTGAGTGCTGGATGGCTGACAGTCCTTTGTGCTCTCTATTTTAAGGTTACATCTTCTTGGAACGAAGACAAAGATGGAATCTCTGGAAAGCCAGTGTGAACACTGGCACCACACCAAGACACCAGATGCCTTTTTTTTTTCCCCACATACACAGAGTGCCCCCTGCCTAGACAAAATGGGCTGTTGTCGCTTGGGAGGAAGTAAAGAGTGTTTGTCACAAACAAGATTAAAAGAACAAAAAGAGCAACACACTCTCTTGCTGTATTATCAGGCAGGGTTATTGCAGAGTGAAAGAAAGGAGAATGAGGACCAGACACTTGGAGAAGCTATCTTACTTCTTCCTTTCTTAGAAGGATTTATACAGCCTTTTGTAAAGACATCTCCATGTCACAGAAGCCACCACCACCTACTCTAATTCTTACAGAAAACTATCCAAATCATATGGAAAATACCAAGATGTTTTAATGAATGGCCCCAAGCCTGAAAGCACCATCCATTACCTATTAGTTTACATAAAAGGGGCAAGATTTAGTCTTCAGGTATTTGAATCACTCCAGGGTCCCTGGGATGAAAATACGATTAGAGGACAATCTTGCTGAATGCACATCTGTGCCCTGATCTACTTAGCAGGTACAGCACTGTCACCTCCTGTCCCCAGAGCCCTGAGAGGTCGCTGCCTCTTTGTGGAGCTAAAGCAGAGCACATGCAATGGTGCTGCTCATTGCAAATGTCAACGCTGCACATTCGGGACTATGCCTGTGGCCATGATGAGAAAGGATTCCGTGGCAAAGGCAAAGCCTCCACTTGGTGATATTCAGGCAGAGCACAGTAAAGAAAATAAAGAATGTTACAGCTCTGAACCCAAAGGACCCAGTGTCCAAATGAGGTCCACACAACACAAAACTGCTCTCAGAGGCTGCAGACAATACTGCAAACAATCTAGTTGAGTGTTTCTGTCCAGGACCTCACAACTGACACTCAGTATTTCTGACCACATTTCTCACCTCTTTCCACTTCAAACCCTGAGGCCTTGGAGACTCCCTTAGAAGGATTTCCAAACTGCCACAACAAACACAGGAGCACCATCCTGCAATGAAACCAAAGAAAGCAACGCTCACAGAGCTCCACCACCAGAGCTCACAGCAGCCACCTCCTGCCCCTCTGCTGCCCTTAATGCTGAAACCTGGGGGCTCAACCCCCAAACCTGAGACAACTCTTGCACGAGAAGTCAAATGGCAAAGCAAGGCAGAACCTGAACTGAAGTTTCCACACCATAGTTTTTCACATCGTCTTTAAGCCAGAACAACATCAGATCCCTTCTCGTGACCTTGGAGTTATGGTATTCACTTCCCCAGACTGCATTTGGTTCTGATTAAACAGCAAATTAGAGCAACACTTGTACCAATTATTTCTCATTTGTACAAGTATGCTGTTCTCCTATATAATGAAAGAATTATCCAGCAGACAGTATAAACAGCCTCCACAAGATAAATGTAAATCAGGAATGTAAAGTCTAGATAAAGACTTTGTATTATTTTTTCTTGCTCAGCTGATAAAAGATCATCAAGAATGTAAAAGAAAAACACCAGAAACGTGGGAGGGAAATAGTTTTGAATCAAGCCCCATGAAAAGCAAGAAGTGTCTCACCAAAGGTCCTGACCATCAACCACCCTCTCCAGACGCACTGCAACACTCGGCCATTCAACATTCACAAAGAGCCAAGTGCTTCCGAAATCTCAAATTCTGACAGCTCTTAAGATTACACTTCTTTATGCCCCTGATAAAAGGCTGCAGAAATGCCAAGCAGTTTGGATACATTCCCAGGAGAAGTCAGCAGTTAGAAGATACACATCACTATCAGCAGTCACAATAATGTTTCTGACCTCTGCTGGATACGGACAGCTGGACAGTGCCTGGCAAGACGTCCCTGCACCCATCCTCCCGGCTGGCAGAGGACAGGAGAAGGGGCCCAGCTTGGTGGTGACAAGGCCACCCTGCCCACCTGGGGATAAGGGGGATTCACCAACTATCCCTGCAGAAAGTGTGGGCTTGATGAAGGGTTCTCTGGGACGATGGCAGGTTGTAACCCCAGCTCCTCCCCAAACCCAGCCCCAGCTCTCACACCTTTAACCCTGTTGGCACACACAGAGTCCTCTGCACCACCAGGACATTACAGCTGACTGCTCCACGAACCAGACATGACCAGATGCCCAAGACCTTGACTGACAAGTTACCTGCTTGTAAAAGGACATTTTCAATTTGCAGCACACTAATTTCAAGTCTGTCTCACAGCCAGCTTTCCCTTTTGCCTCCGAAGTGAAGCTGTGCAGTATCATAAATTCATTCCAGGCCACAAATAGATGTCTCAAACTCCTGTACATTATCTTAGGAAAGCATAACACTCAATTTCTTTAAAAGACAGGGGAGTAAATGAGTCACTTCACATATTTTGGCAGTCACATACAAGGCAATGGGTATGTCCAGGAGGAAATAACATCACAAACTGGCAAGGAATGGCTACATCTACTCGTTCAGCAAGATTGGGTCCATGCTAAAACATACTGCTTTGAAGACGAAACTGGAAAGTATTTACCTCAAGTGTTACTTCTGTATTAACACATGGACATGAAAGTTGGAAGCCCATCAAACCACAGACAAAACCCTTCCACATGCAAACGCGATATACAGATGCTCCTTAGCATTTCTCTGACAAAGGCAGAGGTGGCTCAACTCCCTCTGCTCCTCTTCTGGATAATTCTCGCAGGCACACAGGGATCTTGTGCTGCGCTAGGCAGGCGGGCGAGCCCGGCAGTGGCCGCTGGCAGTACCGGGACCCTCGGGACAAAGCGCAGCGGGGACACGGTGCCGCTGCCCGGCTGCCGCAGCTCCTCCGCGGCACACGGTGCCAGACCGGAGACCTTCCTTCCGCATCACGCACCACCGAGCTCTGGGGGCTTCTCCGGGAGGAGAGCAGCATCCCCGGAGAGCCAGGGATGCCGCTGCCTGCCCCGGCCCGCCGAGGGGCCCCCACACCGGGTGAGGGATGCACGGCCCGGCCTCCCGGGCGCGGCGGCTCCGGCCCGGGGGCAGCGGCGGGGCAGGACCTGCGGCCCCCGCGGTGCGGGCAGCCCAAGGTCGCCGGGCCGGGCCGCAGCGGGGGGACCCCAACACCCTCTCCCCCGGGTAACCCCAGCCCCCAAAGCCCGGCCCTCCGGGAGCCGCCGCCGCCGCTCCGAACCGCGTCTCGCAACCCGCGGGAGGCCCCAGGCCGGTGTCCTCGCAGCCCGCCCGGCGCCCCCTGATCCGGCCACGCCGCCCCGGCCATGCCCGGCTCTCCCGCCCGGCGCTGCCCGGTCCGGGCCCCCCTCCCGGCGCCGCGCCCGCCCGCACCTGCCGCGCCACCTCGGCCGCCGCCATCGCTGCGCGCCCGCCGCACGTTCCGCCCCGGCCTGCGGGCGGCGCCGGGCGCGCCCACCGCGGCCCCGCGCGGGGGGGCCCCGCCGCGCCCCGGCCCGCCCCGCCCGCCCGCCCCGCCCGCGCGCCCCGCCCGCGCGCCCCGCCCCGCCCCGCCGCCTCCCGGCCCTGCTCGGCCCCGCCGGCCCCGCCGGCCCCGCCGCCGCCGCGTTCTGTGAGGAGCGCGGCCGCCGGTGCCTCCCCGCAGCAGCCCGCGATGGTGCAGCCCGGGCTGCGGGCGGGGCGGGCGCGCAGCTCCGGCCGCGCTCCCGAGCCCGCGCAGCGCCTCGCCCGCCCCGCGGGCTGCCCGGCTGCCTCCGCGACCCGGCCCGGCCCTGCCCGCTCCCAGCGCCGGGCGGGCTTCCCCGCCGCCTGCTCGGGAAGGCCCGCGGGGACCCGTCCCGGTGCCCTGCGGTGACACGGACCGAGCCGTGCAGCCCCGAGGCTGGGCTGCGGGTCGCGGTTTGGGTCCCTTCAGGTCCCCCAGCCTCAGCAGCTGAGTTGCCGTTTCAAGCGGAATGTCCGCGCACTTGCCGTGTCCCATTCCCCCTCGCGGCACCTCCGCTCCTGCCGGCCCCGCTCGTCCCGGCGCTGCGGCCCCAGCTCCGGCCGAGCCCGGCACAGCTGCAGCTGCGAGCGTGCGGCTGGTGCTGCTTGGGTTCCCCTTCATTTGAAAGCAGCACAAGCACCAGACGAGGCTGAGGCAGCTCAGTCCTTCTCCAAAGTAACTTTCCTGGCCCCTGAACCCTCAAGTGAAGTCTCCAAGGTTGTCACCCTGGTTTTATCACGGTCAGAGCTCACCATTGTGTCCAGTCCCTAGTGCAGGCATGACCACGGTGGTCCTAAATGCGAGGTTTGCTTTGCACCATTAATGCTTTCATTCCCCAAGAGCAGCTCCTTGTTTTCCCCAGATGCCACCCGAGTGTTTTCAACTGTTCACTAGGATCTCATGGCTGTGTGGTTCAAGCTCTCTGCCTCTCTGAGCCCACGGAAGCCACCAAAACCCAGTGACAAAATCAGGCAGCTCCAGAAAGGGAACAAGGGGGCAATTATGCTTTCACCGCTTTTTGTTTGGGGTTTGAGATTACGCCAACTCCCCACATATCCCAGAAAAACTGGTCCAAGTGGTTGTAAAACGGCAAAGGCCCTCAAGGGCTGACGACCAGCTCAGGGCAAGTCAAAGCAGAGCTAAAGCTTAGGGAAGGCAAAGAAAAAAGGTTCAAGGGGCTATTGTGGCTTTTAGCTGCATGACCAGCTGTAAAACCACCTGGTGACAGTTCAGCCACAGGTGTCAGAGCAGTCATGGATAATAAACTTCTGGAGAGAAAGAGGACTGGGAGCTTTGGGAGCAGAAGAATTAGTCCTGATTTCTAAGAAAATTAGGGTACAGACTACTGGTGGCTGCAGCTGCCAGCACCACCAGGCATGGACTGTGCTACAGAGGGGATCATGGCAAGAGAGGAAGGCCAGATTCCCTGTGGAATGAAACATTGGGTGGCAAGGAGCCAGTGTCCCAGGCTGGGCTTCCCTTACATCAGAGAAACCCAGGAGCCACTGGGAGCATGGCTTCTTGGGGCCATGACCTGGCCTTCCTGAGCACAGCATCAAGGAGAAGCATTGCAGTCATGGGGGGCTGTTTCAGGGGGACAACCTTGGGGTGCTGCTGGGATCAGAGGAAGTGTCCTGGGACCAGTGTCATGGATTTACACACACCAGACAATGTCACAGCGTCTGACCCTGCTAAGAATGCTGGGTGCAAGTGAATGTTTCCAAGGACTCTTTTGTTAGTTCTTTGGTTACAGCTCAAGCTGGTGCTTCCAGAGAGGAGCTCCTATCCCAGTTCACACCTCTCAGTTATACCCCGACACTCATCACCCAGTCCAAGTCAATCACTAAATTCTGGTTGGCAGTATCTTGATTTCTTGCTAGGTTTCACTGGAGCTGGGCTGGCTGCTTTCTGATGTTACTTTATTCTCCTGGGATTGTCTCCTTGGCCTTTATCATCTCCATTCTGCTCATATCTGCTGCATTCCAAGAGTGCTTTGCTAGCAGCATTGGTGTATGAAAAGTTTATGTTTGGTCAGCTCTTACGGCCTAAGGCTTTGGCTACTTCAGGTGCTAATGCTGAGCCAGCAGTGCTAAACGAGATGACTCAGGCAGGAGAAAATAGTTCATCAATTTCTGCTGTAGCATCAGCACTGAGCTGCCCAGAACCCCTGTGCCTCTGTCTGGTCCCGCAGTTCTGCAGTCCCTGTATTCCCATATCTTCCCTGTGTTCCCAGATGTTCCCTGTATTCCCATACCTTCCCTGTGATCCCATACCTTCCCTGTATTCCCAGATGTTTCCTGTATTCCCATACCTTCCCTGTGATCCCATACCTTCCCTGTGTTCCCATATTTTCCCTGTGTTCCCATACCTTCCGTGTGTTTCCATATTTTCCCTGTGTTCCCATACCTTCCCTGTGATCTCATACCATCCCTGTGTTCCCATACTTTCCCTGTATTCCCAGATGTTCCCTGTATTCCCATACCTTCCCTGTGTTCCCATGCTTTCCCTGTGTTCCCATACCTTCCCTGCATTCGCAGACGTTCCCTGTATTCCCAGACTTTCCCTGTGTTCCCAGAAGTTCCCGTGTTCCCGCACGCTGCCTGCATTCCCACACTTTCCCTTCATCCCGCACGCGTGACCAAAGGTCGCGGCGCGGCCGCCATGCCGTGCCGCCCCGCGGGATCGGTTCCTCCTTCGCCAGGGCCGGCGGGGGAAGCGCGGGTGAGCGCGGGGAGCCTGAGCTGTGCCCTGCCGGGACAGCCCTGCCACAGGCTCCCCATGGCTCGGCGGGAGCGGCAGGAGAGCGGGGCGGAGCAGGAGGCGGCTGGCATCTCCCGCAGGTTCTCCTTCCTGGATGCCGCCCAGCCCCTCGCGGGCGGCCGGGCCCGCAGCTCCCAGCTCTGGCCAGCCGCCCCGGGGAGCAGGGAGCGCTTCCATACGCTGCAGAAGATGGACACCAACAAAAGCATCGGCTGGGGCAGGCACAGCCTGGGGAGCTGGGGTAGGACTTCAGGCAGGTTCTCCGTTAGCCCCAGCAGCAGCCGGAGAAAGGAGCTGAAGGAAATCCTCCTGCAGAGCAACAGCCCCGGCAGCACCTTACGGTTTGCCGCTGCTCAGAAGACATCCAGCAGCAGCAGTCTTCCTGCAGGGCTGCACCAAGAGCAGAAGCCTGAGCAGAGCCCTGATCTGCTGCCCCTTGTCCTTGATCCCCTGGAGCACGCATGGCTGCTGACGGTGGCCGAGGGTGATGCGGACAGCATCATCAAGCTGCTGGACCTGGATCCCAGCCTGCTGACCAGGAGAGACTTTGTGACAGGCTTCACCGCTCTTCACTGGCTTGCCAAGCATGGCCACCATGAGAGCTTCATCCAAGTCATCTCCCATGCCCAGAAGAAAGGCTACCCCGTCAACATGAACATCCCCACAGCCAGTGGCGGGCTCACCCCTTTGCACCTGGCTGCCTTGCAGGGACACGAGGTGCTCATCAAGGTGCTGGTGGGAGCTTATGGGGCAGACACCACCTGCAGGGACCACAACGGGCGCAAGGCTTGGCAGTACCTGCCAGCAGACACCTCCAGGGACCTGAAGGAGCTGGCAGGGGCCTTGGAGGAGGACTTGGTCCAGCTGCACTCTCACAACACCAACAACAACTGTAAGTCATCCAGAGAGGCTGGGGCAGGGCAGGACTGTGTGGACTCCGGGGCCGAGGGAAAAGCCCAACACTCCTGGAGCCTGTCGACCCTCCGAGGCTTTGTTAGACAGGCCTTTGCTTTCTTCCATGAGCGCTGAAGCTCTCCTGGCTCCATTAACTGGTAAAACTATGCTGGATAGCAGCCAGAAAAGCCTGCAGAGAACTGGGAACTTGGCTACTCAAGATCCTGGCCAAGTGAGGGTTAAGCCATGGCACTGTGGCTACCCTGGGTCTTGTGGTCTTTTGGGGCTATTCTGGTGTGTATGTAGAGCACCATGGCCATTGGGAGCAGTACCTCGGGGCAGCCCTTCCAAAAAACTGCCTGTCTGCAGAGGGGGCTGTGCCCTGTGTCCCCTTGGATGGGGACTCCTTGTTGCATCCCAACAGATGGCCATGGTTGGGGCTCACATGTCTGCTCTGCTGTGGGGAGCTGCTCCAACACCCTGTGTGCCCACAGGAGGATGCTGACCCACCATGTGTGGTGGATCTCATGCTGCAAACACCTTCCAGCTCCCTGTGAGATCCCCTCACCTCTGCCTTATGTACCTTCTCTGGGTTGATGTTTATTTATAAAGCTGATTCTCAGTAGAGTAAGAGCTAATGGCCCTGTTTGTCAGAAGAGTGCAGGCCAAGAGAAGCCTTTCAAAGTGTAAAACAACTCACACTGGCAGTCCTTCCCTTGAGATCCCCATCCCAGGAAGCCTGAAATGCTCAACCTCATTAGGAATGAGGGCCAGAGCAAAGGAGGCAGGAAAGACACAAGGGGGGCAGCATGTGGTGGCTCCTGTGGGGATTAGAGTTCAGGGACAGCTCTGGAAAGATGATTCATTCTCAGAAACTGTGGAAAAGGTATGTGAAGGCTGTGAGATTGAGATTATTTTTATTGCTACTGAGATCATGCTCAAAAATGAAACTGATGAAAATCACTGCAGCAGCGTAACAGTGCATGTATGTCTTGTCACTGCATTAAAAGGGCAAAGCCTCTGCTCGCCTGCTTGTGTTTTGTTATTCAAGTGGAGTTCTGCCCTGATGATTTCAACTTGCTTTTTACATTCTCAAAGGCCAGTACTGCTTCAAAATATCTTCAGAAAAACAACAGCCCCTTCCTCTTTCTCATCAGCATTGAGACTATTCCTACGCCCTTAAACAGCAGTCCCGCTTGAGAAGTGCTTCTCAAATAGGAACTGGGGAGTTTCTGTTCCCCAGGGCAGCCCTTGCAGGGACAACTCCTTTAGGAGGGCAGTTGTGGTTTTCTTTCCAGCTGCCTTTCAGGGGGCCTGCAGGGGTGACTGAGGGACTCAAGATGATCTGGCTCAGCTACACAAGGTGCATTTGCATCTTGATGCAGAAAGATACACAAAGATACACAGGTAATTTCCTCTGGGGAACTAGAGGGGGGTTTCACAGATCCTGGGCAAACTCCAGTTATATTCAGACTGCTTGAACACCAATATTACCCAGCCTGCAGTAATGACTTGGAAGATTAGCCTCCACATGAGTGAACAGGGATCCAGTGAATGAATAACGCCCAGTCCAGGTGCCTGGGTGGATATATAGATGTATCTGGATATCTTTTTATTCCCTGAGGTCAACAGCAGATACATACAAAACACACTAGGAACTAGATTTAATGCCTTATAATGGTTTAGCTCTAATGGATTGAAGATGTTGGCAATGCAGCTCCTTCTGGAACTGCTGTGGCCAGGCCCATGCCATGGGAGAGCAGGCTGGCTTCTCACGAGTCTGCTCATGCCAGTACAAACTCCATGGACAGCACTGGTGTCAAGTTCTGGTAACCAAAGTGCTGTTGTTAAGACAGACAGGACTGACAATTTTTTTTTTTAACTATTAGTCTTCTGTCACCTTTTTGCAGCTGTCATGGAGGGGGCACAGGATGGCTCTTACATCCTCCTCTGAGCAAGGCACAGAGTAAACAGTGGAATTGAGAATTTCCTTGAAGGAGCCATTTCCTTGGCAATAGTACCTGTGGCTTAGTCATGCTCTATCCGGAAACATGGACTTAAATGTTGCATTTGAAAGTAAAATGTGGCTGACAAATGCTGCACCTAAATATGACAAAATGTTTTTCAGTTATTACCTCCTCTTGAGAGATAACCAAAACCCTCTAAAGACAGCTTTTGCCCCCATCTTTTGGTCATGGGTTTGACCCACTATTCTGTGCTGAGACAAATTAGCTGGAGACTTCAGAGCAGGACCACAACTCTGCTTCTCTAGATGTGTTAAAACATCCTCACCATGTCACCCCCTGCCCTGGGTGGGTCCCTTTCCACTGAGCAAAAAAGAAAAATTTTCTTCCAGTGACCCACCCCTTTGTCTCACTCAGTTCCTTTTCATACCTACAGAAAGGAAGCTGATTTGGATATAGAGACATGTTTAGAAAAATACTCCTCAGGTATACAATCAGCTCTAACTTTGCTTTTCACTCAGAAAACAAAACATAGCCATCAAAATAAATGGACTAGAATATCCAAATATTTTTTTTCTTTAAAGCTTCTGTTGATGTCTCAGTTACCATGTGTTAGCCCAGCTCTGCAGAGATTCCCTCTCACAGGGAGAAGGCAAAGAGAGCTGCCACAGACAATGGAAAACATTCAACTCAGAGGTATTTGTTTGGTTAAGGTTCTGCAGAGGATTAAGTTCAACCCAAGTTTAATGTGTACAAAATTCCCTTTGTGTTATCCCTTAATGTACAGTTTGAAAAGCAGATTCAGTCAAACAGGGAGAACAATACAAGGGGTTATTTTCCAGAACAGTTCCTTAGTAGAAGATACTTCCATATAATAAAAATACTAGTCATTATAGTAACGGGGAGACTTTCTAATAAATAGTTAATAAATTGTCCAATCTGTTGCTCAGGAAAGTTTTCCCACAAATACTATGGAAAAAACTGTCTCCTTCCATTCTCAAGTCCATAAAATTGCTATTTTCCTCTTCAGCTAGATCCCCATAGACACAATTAGAGAGAAATTCTATGAGCAGCTTTGCCTGCCAGCAGTGATGTGGAGAGGCTGGAGGAGGTAAACTGGATGCCAAGGCAGAACTCCAATCCTCAGCAGTGCTGTTATTTCCTGAACACTCACTTCAAAAAGAGTGCAGAAAAGCTTTAAAAATCATTGAGGTCAAAGTGACTGCAGCATGCAAGCCTCTATTCAAACACCTCTGGCAATGCTGTTTGCTGCTTTCCTGTTGCAGTGACTTACTGCTTCCCCCTGATGATGAACTAGAGTGCACTCTTACCAGACAGGATAAGGAGCTAGAGGATACCTCTGAAGTATCCTGAAGTTGGTAAAAATTGCAGCCTTGCTCACCCTGACTTACAGAACACTGCAGCACACCTTAGGAAGGAGAGACCTCATTACCTGAGTGAGGTGTGTATTTCCTAGCATTTACCTGTTTGGCACATGCTGTACCCAACGTTATTTGCTCTAAGTTGCAATACAAAGGAGATAAATCTATTTACCTTCAGCGTGAAAAGCAGCAACACAGAAGGTATGTCAGCCTGAAGGTTCCTCAGGAAGCTGCCTCTCAGGAACAGAGCCACGACCTGAGGCTGAACCCAGGAATGAGGCAGCACCTTGGCAGCCCTCAGCGTCAGGATGGGCTTGGCCACAGCCCAGAACAGGCTCACACCAACAGGGATTTCCTGCCCGTCAGAGCAGCGACCCAGCTCAGCTGTGAACAGAAAGGACTGGGTGCCTCCTCCACTTCCCTGCAGTACATTGGTTTCACAGGCCCCGCAGAGAAGACCAGCACAGGGGAGCTGGAGTGCCAACTGCCCAGAGACCCTTAGTCCCCTTTTTCCTCTCCCCTTTTTGAAATAGCTGCAAATTTTCCTTTGAGCCCCATTTTAAATTTCTACTCGTCTGCTGAGAATGTTTTATACTAAGCTGCATCTGTGGTTGATTTGTCAAACCAACACAGACTCCCCAACAAAACTCATTTAATATTCTAGGGAGTACACAAACATAATGTGCTGCACTCTACAATACTGCATCTTGTAAGAGATTTTCTTCTGGTCTGATCTTAACTTTTTTTTTTTAATTGGTGCTTTGTTCCTGAAGGTTTACAGTCAGTGAAAAGGAAGACACAGCCTATTCTACCTGAAAAGAGCTGCCAAGGTTCCTCATTATTAAGTGAGAATATAACTAACATGACCATTAATTTGATTGTTACAATCCCACCACGTGTATATGAAATAATTTTCAAAACAAAAGTCATTCAGGTCCATGTTTATTAGTAAGCCTGTGCAGTGTCAATGCTCACGGTGATGCCTGAAAGAACACTATAGAACACAGTCTCCATGTTTCAGATACAAAGATTTTCCCAGTTAACATCAACATCCCAGACCAGCTTATAAAAACCCCACACTGGGGACTGCACTCCAGCACCACAGAAGGAATGACTTGAGGGTGTTATCGATCCGACACAGAAAGACCAATGTTCCTTAGAGCTCCCAGGGGACAGTCTCTCTTTACAAGCCCAGCTTGGTCCTCCTCCAGTGTCTCCTTTTGGAGTTGTACCTAAGACAAAAGCAAAGTGCACACACACATTTGTTAAACATGAAAGCAGAACAGCACATAGAAAAAATCTTTTCCATGAAAGTACATTAACTTGTGAGCTCGTACTTGTCCACGTTAAGAACAAATGCTTTCACCACGGTGCGGGTGAAACCACAGACAGTGTTAACGGAGTTGCTCTCAGCAGGAAAATGGCAGCACTCCCACAGCAGGAAGCGCTGCAATTGCAGCCTGCTTTAACACAAAGCTTGGACAGAACTCATGGCCGAGCTACTCAAGTGCCAGGAGACCAAACTCCAAGATTTTGTCCCTATGGTCAAGTATTTGAGTACTGCACTGTAGCTAAAACAGAACCCAGCTGTAACCTGGCACATGCAAGACAAGGATCCAGCTGAGTGTACGCACCACTGATCCTGCCTAGAAACAAGCTGGAAGCAGCTACAGGAACAGCACCTAGCAATGCTGTGCTGGGTCACTGCCTGAACCAACCAGTGCTGCTGTTGCTCTCCTCACTGCTTAGGACAAAGAGAGAAAGAGAAGAGGGAATCCTGTTGCCTTAAAGAAGCCCAGATGAAGGAGTGTATGAGATAAAAAGCTATGCTGCAGTTTTCAACCGGAGCACTTGGACAGGCACCACCCTGATCTTATCCACAGCCACCACCACCTTATTCTTATCCACTCCCATGTGCACCCAGTGTGTCACAGCACTCAGCATTTCCCGAAGCACAATGCTCGAGAACAAACACAAGAGGAAAGCAAGGAACTATGACAAATTAATTCTACAGTCAGGTGCCAAGCATTTAATAATATCAATCTGACTTCCCATACATCCAACAAGTCCTTTGCTCCCTGAACCTCAGAGAACCCACGCTTGGGAACCATTCCTTGACAATGCAGGAGCCCAAAGGGGCAGCTATTAGAGAAGACAGGTATTGGGAAGGTGAACGTCAGGAACAGAGAAGCTACTAGAGAACAGAATCTGGAATAAATCATCCACACATACAGTTCGGGTTTTCACTTTACACGTACCACTGCTGAACGTCAGTGGACACTTGCAGAGCACTGGTGCAAAACCACTACAGAAAAAAACGGCACGGAAGCCCCACACTGCCCGGCCCCTACCACCCCTGCACGGCCACGGAACCGCGCCTGGGCTGGCACAGACGCCGTCAGCCCCCGCCTTCGGCCCGCCCGACCAGGCCTGCCGGCCGCGGCTCCTCGGAGGGCAGCGGCCGAGCTCGTTACCTGATCTTATTGCCGGTTTTCATGCGAATCCACTGCGGGATGGGCCGGTTCTGCTTCTGCTTCTTGGCGAGGAAGCGTTTGATCTTGAACGTCTTGTGCGACGACTGCAAAAGAGCGCAGCGGTCAGTGCCTCACCCAGCCCCGGCCCCGCCGCCAGGCCTCGGCCAGCCGCGAGAGCCGCACGCGGCTCCCTCCCGCTCCCCCGCGGCCGCTCCGCCCTGCGGCCCGCCCGCCAGGACCCCCGAGTGCGGCGGCGCCGGGGAGAGGGCTCGGGGCGCGGCGGGAGGCGCGGATGGCCGCGGATGTCTCACCATGGCGCGGAGCGGCGCGGCGTCCCGGCGATGGCGGCGTCCGAGGCGGCGGAAAGGGCGGCGGAGCGGCGCGGGCGCGCGCCCCCTGGCGGCCCGGCGGCCCCGCACGCAGGGAGGGACGGCGGCGGCCGAGCGAGTTTGTGCGAGTTTATTTGGGTTTAGTACAAAAAACAGCTATGGCTAAAATTCGCTAGCTTGGGAGGACTGCTACTGGCGAAGTCTCGTTCTGGGCTGTAAAACAATACTCCAAGTTATGAGGCAAGAGGAAGCGGTTCCGAGAGGGCAGACATTCGGAAATGTTTCAGACTTGAGAGAAGGGAAGATGCTGGAAAAGAACAGGATGCCCAAACCAGCTACATTTGATTTAAAATAAGCATTTCAATATAGGGAGACTACATGAGAATTTATCAAGTCATATTCAACTATTAAGCCAGCTTATTCATACACTCCAACTTAAGTTACTTTATCCAGAGAACCACTCAAGAGGACAGTCTCTCCCTCCCTGACATGGTTACTGCACTGCCAGATGTTCTGCTCCTTGTGTGCCAAAAGACCCCTATCCACTGGTACCTCAACAACCCCAGCCTGTGTATGTGTCTCAGTGCTACACTGACACACTTTAGCTTTCACTGCCTCACGCAGGAGCACCACACAACACAGCAACATCTGTGTTAACTCCAGGCAACTCCAAGCTCGCTCTGCTTGAGTGCATCCAACACTGGCTTTAATTGCCTTAGAATTCTGGCTTTTGATCCAGGTGTCATTCCCTCCTGACCACAACTGATTTATTATCAAACTTAAGGCCATAAAGTCTTTCTATTTCGCAAAGATTCTCTTCTCTGCTGTAGTTAGATGCTGGGAAAATAAGTTCAAATGACTGAAAATATTACAATGAGAACACATTTCAAATTTGGAATCTACAACTGAGGTTCTTTAACCAGAAACATCCAACAGCACAATGCCCCCTTTTCTTCCTTTGTTCCTTTTTCGCTCCGAAGGCACTTCTGGATTGCGTAGTACATGCTCTTTGGCTGCACAGACAGTCAGAACACATAAGGCTGGCACATCAGTCACTCCTCTTCCTTCGTGTGACTGGTCTCACCCTCTTGTTTCTTATCCACTCCCTGATCTGGGGGCTTTGCAGCACTGTCTTCATACTGACACAATCTGCTCCGGCTTCGGGCTCCGGGCTGGTACAGCTGCATTGCTGGGCGATCCTGAAATAAATCAGAACTATTTAGATTCCTTCATACTCCCTGCTCTCAGGGTTCTTATGGCATAATTTCTATTGTATTAGAAATGGTTCAAATTCAAACTTTTCAGGCTAAGTTTAATTATTCCACAGTGGTGGTAAAGTAATTTCAATTGTCCCAAATCGAGGTTGTCTCTGTTGTAAAGCAACATCCTGTTCAAACCACAATGAACACTGCTCATAGTGGAGGTTATTTGTAATGAGCTTCCTGCTGAGTTCAGCTCACAGTCTCAGAAGAGAGGCCAACGTCAAAGTTTCAAAACCCTGAGTTTCATTTGTACCTGACAATGTCTTAAGTGATACAGAAAACAAGCACAGTGATACTGCAAAAACGTATTTTGTAGAGTACATAAAACTACACTCAAGACATTATTTCTTGAGCCTAGAGGACATGTCATATTCTGCAAGTTGCAGTTTCCTATTTTAAGGAACCTGTTCAATCACACTCCTACTGAGATGCATTTTCAGGCACCTATAAGATCAGCAGACAGAAACAGATTACTGATACTCTACCAACACCTTAAAGAGATAGCCCATGGCACAAGTCAGCAAACAAAAAGGCATCAGTGTCTTAAAATTTAAACCATGTTTTCTTGGATTAGTTCTTACACAGTGACAAGAAATACCACTGTTAAGCAAATTTTAGTGGACATTCCTAGCAATGGCAGAGTTTGTTGCAGAACAGGGAGAAGTTTCAACAGAGAAACGACATTTTCCTTGAAGCCCTTTTATCCTAAAAACCACAGATCCCTATGAATCAACACGTGAATTTAAAGAAATCCAGCACCTTGTTTCTGATACGATCCCTCTTAATTGTATCCTCTTTTTTATCGTCTTTGGTTACTTTCTCAGATTTGTCCATGCTGCTGGTAAAGTCTGTAAGATCACTTTTCTTTCCCTTTTCTCTGAGTAAGTCTCTCTCCTTTTTCACCTCTTCCTCTTTTCTTCTAAAAACCTTCTCTTTCTCATAGCGCTCTTTCTGCCTCCGACGCTCCTCTTCTTGGCGTCTCAGTTTCTCTCTCTGTGCTCTCTCATAGTCTCTGTCTCTGTCAAAATCTCTATCTCGGTCCCTGTAGTCCTTTACACACTCATCTTCTGATCTGTGTGAAAACAAAACTGAAAATTAAGCTCAAAATATTCATCAAACAGAGTTGGGAGATCAATGTAATAGTGGTGTAAATGTGCAATAGGAAGATGACACACTGGCAGGTACTAAGGAGCTCTTGGGAGGCTGTGATAGCCCAAGTCATGCATGAAGCCAGAGAGGACACTGACCACTAGAGTTTCCCAGCCTCCTACTTGCATAGCTGGCTGAGTCTCTTCTGGCTTTGAAAAAACATCTGAATTTGTCTGTCTTATCTGTATTTCTCACATGGCAGAACTGAACTTCAAACAGATCATGGAGCTGTTGAGAATTACATTTTCCACTTTGACTTTTTACAAGACTTAGAGGAACTGGTAACTGGAGAACACCTCTCCTCTTGCCATGGTTATAATAATTATCTCATTGCAAGGACAGTGCTCACAGCCTGCTGCATTCACCTACATATGGGCTTCCTTAGTGGAGTTCCTATAATGAATTGTAAAAATATTAAAATCTGTCCACTAATGAAGAATTTCCAGGTAATTCACAGAGCTTTCTGTAATCATGGGGATGTGCGCTGGCACAGAGAACACAGCTCATGCCTTATATGAGAAAAAGCATTTGAAAGGAATTTTAAAACATGGCCATGGCAGAGCAGCCTAAGCCTCCGTACAATCAGGAAACAAGTTATAGATACATATATATTTATAGCAAGTACTAGAATACTTTTTTGCCTTCTCTTCTTTTGTCTCCCCATCAGATCGTTTGGCAGATGCACTACTCGCATTTTTTTCCTCCCTCAGAGTCTCTCTTTCCAGTTTCTTGGATTTTTCTTTTCTCTCCAAGTCTTTTTCATCTTTTTCAGGCTTCTTAAGTAGCTACAAAGAAAACAGAAGTCTCAACTAAAAAGCTCACTCTAACACATATTGTCTGGCACAACACCGAAATTGCATCAAAGGAACCACAGTCCAGTAAGAAGTAAACATTAAAGAAATATTACTTCAAATCACAGTATTTCTTAAAGCTGGAGTGTATGAGTAAGCATTATTCACACAACAAACTAGAATTTTTCTCCTAAACCAGGCTGTTTTAGAAAGCTTAAAAATAGTCTCCATTCCATAGTGAATTCACAATCCTGTTTACCGCAGCATATACAACAGTCACATGACAAAAACTTTAAATATTACTATGAAACATTACAGCATGTAAACCTTTACAATGCCTACTACTGAATAATACAAAAAAATTGGTCATTTTCTAACACCAAACTCATATGATTCTTCACACAATACCCAAAGTACATTTTGACACTGATATACAAATAATAGGGGAAAGGGAGTGTAACAGTTTATAATAAAGAACTGTTCTAGACCTTAATCTTTGGTTCTTCTTTTGATCTGTCTCTTTCTTTTTCTGGGCATCTGTCTACCTTCTTCAATTTTTCTGCTTCTTTTCTCTTCCTTCTCTCCTCTTCTTTCCATTTTCTTCTTTCTTCTTCTCTTTGTCTTTTTCTTTCTAATTCTCTCCTCCTTCTCTCCTCTCTTTTTTCTTCTCTCAGTCTCTGTGTATTTAAAAACAAAGAGAAATAGTGTCTGTCCACAGAAGAAAACATCTCTTGAAGCCATCAAACAACTCGCCTCAAAACTGCCTTTATTATAAAAGAAAAAAATAGAAGTTCCTGTCATCTCTGTTGTTGTAAATCTGAACATGCTGCAGCAATATTTTTTTTACTTGTCTTAATTTTTACTGTCTTAAAAAAGCTCAAATACATCACTAGCATCAGCCTTTATCATTACAATTTTAATTAAATCTGCTCCACCTCTGATTTTCTCCATTGGCAGAAGTTAAAATAATATTATGTGCTAGGAGAAAGATTATCTACAAGGGTCTCAGCCATACTGCACTAAAAATGGAAGCACTAAAATGGAATCTGTTTTGTCAGTGCAAAAAGAGGTGTTTTGCTGTGACCAGAATGTACACAAAGCACCACCATTCCAACACTTTACTCCTTTAAAACATATGAACCAGAAGTTGACAAGTTGGGTCAAAAGCTTCTTCTTCTTCAAAGGAAGGGCAGAAATGTAAGAACATACAATGAGCAAATTGTACTTGCAAACAACAAGAAAATTCTGGAGGTAAATCTTACCTGTTTATTTTTCAAGAAGTTCAATAAAGGAGTAGTCTTTTTAGCTGGAGAATAGATAAAACAAATATAACTATCTTGCCTTATCCAATACTGCAATACCTACAACAGAGCTCTACAGGAAGTGAAGCAGCATGAAGCAGCTTGTCTCCTCTCTCATACAGCAATACAGCAGTGAAACAAGTATTCCAAACCTATCTCCAAACACTGGCAACTACTAGGATTCTATAAACTTCATTAGGATACTAACAGGACATCCATCACACCTATCTCTACATTCAGTCTGCATTAGGGTTTTCCCAGACACTCATTTTTAAAGAGATCCCTGTAAGAGACTTAAAAAGAGCAGCCCGGTCATTTTTGGTGGTGTTTTTAAAACTATTTCTTAACTTGTGCCTGCATGGAACATCACTGATCACAACACTGTGCATTAAAGTATGCCACTGTATTTCACTGAAATGCAGCAACTCCACAACCTGGTCTGACTAACAAACATCTTCAACAGGAAGGAACTCTGTCATCTAAAACCTATACTTACAGAAGAATTTAGAGCATGGGAACAAAACACACTGCATAATATTAGCTTAAATGTTTAGCAAATAGTAAGCAGGCACACAAAAGAATTCAGTCTCCTCCAGGTTCAGCTTCAAATTACAAAACATACTTGTTTCTTTGTGATCTAGGAAAATGTAACTATAGTACACAGATTTTCATACCTATTAGCTCTTTGTTTCTTGCCTCTATTTCCTCCAACAAAGTTTCAGGAGTGGAAGTTAATTTTTCATCATCTGCACTGTAACTTTCCAAAAACTTCTTGTATTCTGGATCTACACAGAAGAAAAGGGAAAAGGTGGGGGGAAGAAGAGATACTGTAGCATGAAAAGTATTTGCATAATGCACTGCTAAGTTACATTTACTTCAGCTGGGTTTTTATATGCCACTTTTTCATAAGTTAGCAGCTCTCAAATGAGCTGCTGTATTATGTTTGTCTGGGACAATCATATTTAATAGATTTCTCATTGACAAAGTAGTGCTCATAAACTTCGCATATAATTAAGCAAATATCCTATTGGTGGAACTATAGTGTCACAGTAAAAATATTACATTCAAATTACTGCTAAGAGGTTCAAGTCTACACATGCAAAAACAAACTAGCTCGCTGTTATACCATCTTCAATAGTTCCAGTTTTGGCATCCTTTTTCTTACTCTTCTTTTTGGCAGCTTTTTGGAAAGGTGCAAACTCAACTATTGCAGCATATTCCTGACCTGTTGAGAGAAAAAATACATTAACATAAAGATTAAATGGATATAAAATAGATCATACCGTCCACATCTAAAGCAGGGAAGTAAGTCTCACAAGAAATATGCAATACTGAATAGACTTCTTACACAGCATAAAAAAATTATTATATTTGGAAAACCATTTGATAAAAAAACCACTCTAAAGACAGCAGAACTCATTACCTTAACACTCTCACTATACTAACAAACCAGCCAATTCACAGGCTGACAAGAAGGACATGCTAGATTTCAGACTGCCCATGACTGTTGGTCTGCCACCTCAGTGGCACCGCACTGCACAATGGCCTCATCCTACACACTCTGTGTACATCGTGCAAGAAAGAATACTTTAAGTAAGTACAACTGAGGCAAGTCTCAACTTTTGACAAAATATAATAGAATGCAACACATGACAAGCAGGCTTTAAAGTGTTATCTTCTGACAAGAACACTACATTTATAGCTGCACGAATCCAGCTGGGTATGGCAAACACAGTGTGCTGTTAACTGCAAGCCAGCTCATTTAAAGGATTTATATGTTATCGGATCTATAGATATGCATATATTTCTAGAGGTATCGGAGCTCTAGAGGTATTGGAGGTGTTTTTGAGGCACTAAACCCAAAGAGGTCAGACGTGGCTGCTCACACCCACCCCTCCAAAACTCAGCCAGCACACGGCATGGACAGCAGGGAAGCAACAACATCCATCGAGTGCCGTTCACTCACCTTTGTGATCCACAAAAACGTAGCCGTCGAAGCGATCCCTGAAGAGGACTATGTCTTCCTGGTTCTTGAAGTTGATGTAGGCTCTGGAGAACATGTGCGGGTACAAGCTGCAGAGACACAAACCGAGAGCGCTGGGCTGACGGGGCGGCGGCGCCACCGGGGCCCGGCTGGCGGTAGCGGCGGCTCCGGGAGCGCCCGGGCTGCGCGGGCGGCCGTACCTGGAGTCGTTGGCGAAGAATTCGAAGTAGTCGTGCTCGGGCAGAGGCTGCAGGTGCTCCTCCAGCTGCTCCTTCGTCAGGCTGGGCGGCAGCCGGCGGATCACCACCTGCGGCACGGCGGGACCGGCGCTCAGGGCGGCGGCAGCGCCGGGGACGGGGCAGTACCGCGCCTCCCCGACACGGCCTGTCCCAGGGGGGCCCCGCGAGCGGGGCAAGGTCCCGTTACAGAGGGGGAGCCCCGTTACCGGAGGGAGGAGGGCCCCGTTACAGAGGGCGAGCCCCGTTACCGGGCAGGGCGCCGTTCCTGGCGGCGCGGAGGCCCCACCTTGCTGAGCGTCTCCTTCTTGTCCTTGGGCCGCTCCAGGCGATCGAGCTCGGCGGCGCCGGCTCTGCCGTCCGTGCCGGCGGCGGGGCCCGAGCCCGGTGCCGCGGGCAGCAGAACCCCCGGCGCGGCGGGGGCCCCGCGCCGCTCCTTGGGCCTGGCGTTCTCCTTGTCCTCCTTCATCCCGATCCCGATCCGGACTCCGGGCCGGGCAGCGCCGCGCGCACCGACCGGCGCCGCCTCTCGCGAGACCGCGATTAAAGGCGCCGCTGCTCCGCCGGACTACCGCTCCCAGCGTGCACCGCGCCCGCCGCCGCTCTCCCGGCGGGGTCAGCGCCCGGGACCGGAACCGAGAGCGCTACCGGCCGAACCGGGACACGGGCACGGCCTCACTTCTTGCCAGGGACTGTTCTCCGGCGGCGCTGCCGCTGCCCGCTCGGGCCCGTTAGGCTGTGAGGGGGCGCGGGGCAGGCCGGGAAGGGCGCGGGGCAGGCCGGGAGTGCCCCGGCACACGGCGCAGCGAAACCGGCACCGGCACCGGCCCCGGCAGCGGCGGGATGTGGTACGAGATCCTGCCCGGCATGGCCATCATGGGCGTCTGCCTCACCATCCCCGGCATGGCCACCATCTTCATGCACCGCTGGTGTCACGGCGGCAAGGTCAGCGCGGGGCGGGGCGGCAGGTCCCGGGGTCCGCGAGCCTGAGGCTCCGCTTCCCCACCGGAGCCGCTCTTATCCCCCGGTCCCCTGCATCCCCCTGGCATCCCTCCCTCCCGGGGCTCCTCTTACCCGCCTTCCCTCGGGAACCCTGCCCGAGGCCTTAACATTCTGTGCCTGCAGGAGAAGAGGGTGGCCCGCTACCCCTACGAGTGGACCCTGATGGAGAGGGACCGGCGGCTGTCGGGAGTCAACAAGTACTACGTGTCCAAGGCAGGTCTGGGGGCGCTGGGCAGGTACCGCCGGGGGGAGCGGGACCGGGCGCTGCTCCGCCATCCCCCGGCTCTGGGACGGCCCCCGAGGTGGGCGCTGGTCGCTCTTGTCAGGTCTCACTCGGTGCCTGCAGCTGGCCTGCCTCTGGGGATGTGCATTTTAATTTTGTTCTAATTAAGACCCGGGTCATTAAATGTAGTTTGAAAATCTGAATTTTCAGATATGCTCTGTTGTACATTAGTAGCAAGAACGACACAAATATAGCTGTTATTTTTTGTTTTTCAGGGTCTGGAGAACATAGACTAAGGTGTCAACGCTTTGAAAAATTAATGTATCTATATAAAATGATTTAACTCTTAAATAAAGATACATATGTGTTCAGCCCTTGTATTTGTGTTGCTGTGGTGGGCAACAGGTTCCCACCAAAGCCACTCTGCTACTCCCGTCCTCAGCTGGACAGGGGCAGAAAATACATTGAAAGGCTCATGAATTGAGACAAGGAGAGGAAGAGACCATTCATCAGTTACTGTCACAGGGAAATGAGACTTGAAGAAATTAATTTAATGTATTGTCAGATAACAGCAAGGTAATGAGAAATCAAAACACCTTCCCCCCACTCCTCCCTTCTGGGTTCAGCTTCACACCTGATATTTTCTACCTCCTCCCTGCTGAGCTGCACAGGGTGATGGGGAAGGGGGGTTGTGGTCAATGTCATCCCATGTTTCTGTTGCTCCTTCCTCCTCTGGGGAGAACTCCTCACACTCTTCCCCTGTTCCAGCATGGGGTTCCTCCCATGAGAGACTCCTTCACTAACTTCTGCAGTGTGAGTGCTTCCCATGGGCTGCAGTTCTTCATGAAGGGCTCCAGCATGGGTCCCACGCATAAGGTGCAGTCATTCAGCTGCTCCAGCAGGGTCACATTTCCTGCCAGCAAACCTGCTCCAGTGGGCTCCTCTCTCCATGGGCACAAGGGTCCTGCCAGAGCCTGCTCCAGCATGAGCTTCCCACGGGGTCCCAGCCTGGGCACGTCCACCTGCTCCAGCATGGGTTGTTCCTGGGTGCAGGTGGATCTCTGCTCCCTCATGGACCTGCAGGGGCACAGCTCACTGTGTTGCAACAGGGGCTGCAGGGCAACCTCTGCTCCTCTCCCCTGCCCCACGGCCTCTAGTCATGCTGGAAGAGGAGCTGCTGGGAATTCAGCACCCTGTGACCTGTTAGAACATTTCTGGCTTCTCCGGTGATCCTTTCCCTCTGAAGCTCTGCGTGTTGCCAGCGCTGCTGTTCGGAGCCCGCAGCACCTCAGTGCACCTGGCTGGACAGAGCCCTGCCCGGCAGAGCAGAGACGAATTGTCCAGAATGGCAAAAATACGGCCTGGATCCCGCAGCGGTTTTCTTGCTCCCAGCGCCGTCCCTCCCGGCAGCCCGCGGCTGCGGGGCGGTCTCCGCGGGGCAGGGCCGGGCCGGGCCGGGCGGGCCGCGGGCTGCCGGGAGCGGCGCCGTGGTGACCGCGCGGGGACAGCGCGGGGCCGGCACAGCCCCCGGGAGCGGCACAGCCCCCGGGA